AAATGTACTTACCTTCATTTAGATGGATCCATTTGATTACTATTGAAAGAAACACAAATTGTTTGCCTAAAATAACGCATGAATCAAAAAAAAAACTCTTTAAATGCATGAAATTAAATTGAAATATACAATTTTCTGAAGCTACACATTCGGAATACATTTAAATCGATTTAGCAAAATGAAAAGAAATAACCACAATCGAAAAGCGCAACGTGGCATCTTTAATACACAAAATCAACCATGCTTAAAGTGCACCCGAGTCTTCGATGCTGTGATCTATATATATGTAAGCCCTGTCTATCTATCTGGCGCACAGACATCAACATCATTATTGTGAGGGTCTATAGATACTTTGTCTAGCATTTCAATTGGCAAACATACTTCAGCTGGGAAGCTACACGGGCTTAGAGTAAAAAAGCCGCACACGCTGCGATAAATAAACAACAAGCTTCCCCGCCCCACTCAATCCTAATACTCAGGTCTACGCACTGGCAATGGCAATGGCAAAAGCCTTTCATCTACTTCAGTGCTCAAGTAGCAACAAAATACACAAGCAACAAAAAGGCGACTGCAGGGACAACATCAATAACAATAACAACAACGAGAAATGGCAACAAGCGTCTAAGTGTGATTTTCGAAAATGGCAAAAGTATGTTTTTCCAAATCTGACTTTAGCGTCAAATTTTCAAGGCCAACAACAATAACAACAGCAACAACTTGGGCGCAATTTGCAGCATACTTTTTGGCGCAAATCGTCGTCTTGAGTAGACACACAGAGAGAGGAAGAGAGACGCATCGTTTGAATGTCAGTGTTGATTTATCAAATTATTTACCAAGAGGTTTCCAAAATGATGATAAACCCCACCCCCGCATCAAACGGGTCGTTGATGACTTTGGTTTGTTTGCCTGCAAATATGCTGCACAAATGGCTATAGTCCTGATATCCTTTATATAGTTGTGTGTACCCTGGCAGCAGTTTAAGCTATTTTCACTGTTTATCCCAAACTTTGCCTAGTGCGCTCTATTGAAATTTATAGTTTTAGTTGCTTTGGCTTGACGGTTTCAAATAGCACGCAACTAATAGGTTTTCTTTGCATAAACTTGGTCTTACTAGTTATTGTTGTTGTTGCCTACTCAAATTTACTTGGCTCTCCTGTTGAGCTTCGGTGCCCTAGCCTGGCTTATGGATCCTTTTAAATTTGCAATGTGGCTGCAAAGTTTGTAGACTAGGAAGCGGGTCTTTAATTAGCGGAATTTTGTTTGTAAGCAAATGCAATAAATAAATATTGCATTTTTAGACAGGTGTACTCTGTGAAAGTTAGCAACATGTGCAATAATTGATGAATATATTTGTATTTAATTATTTCGACTTTTAAAACTCGTCTTTCTTCCCACAAATAATATGTTTTGATTTTGTTGACACGCTTACTGCTGCCTTGCAACTCAATTTTTTTTTTAGTAATTTGTTTGCCACTATTTGATTTAAATCTTTTAAGAATACTCCGACCATTTTTTTTTTGGCAGCATAACTACGAGGCCAACATTGCCGCTAATTAAACTAGCCCTAAAAGTATGTAGTGCAGCAGTGGCTTGACTTTTTTCCGCTACGACTAATCCATGGAAAAAGTTGGGTTCCAACAGTTGCAGTTGGCTGTTCCGCCACGAAAAACTGTTATGAAATTCATTTAAAGTTGAAGTCAAAAAGTCACGCGACAACAAAAACTGCAGGACAGCGGGAAACAAAAGTTTTGTTACTCGTTGATGAACTGCGGCATAGACGTGGAATGTGGATGTAGATGTGGATGTGGACGTGAATGTGGTAGTAGCATGTGGCCATAGTTCTGTCCGCACGACTCGAAACTGGTCAATGTAAGCGGCTTAGAAGCCGGCCCTTGGTAGCACTGAGATTTTGAATACTGCTGCGTATGCGTTATATTTGTGCATTTATTTTGGTTTCGGCTCGTAATCAAATTTACATATTTGGGCCACTGAAATTAATTATAATGCTACCACACACAAAAACCGCATTGAGAGATAAAGACAGGCGGGGAGAGTGAGAGAGGGAGAGAGGGAGGGAGAGAGAAATAGAGTGGGAGTGTGTGAGTGAGTGGTTGAAAGCTATGAATACGAAATGTGGCTTTGGCTTTGGATTTGCGGCTCAGCGCCAGCTCTTTCTCCACTGAATGTGTTGGTAATTTCATTTGGCCAGCTTCGTTTGTCTCCCGGCGCACCTCTTACCCACACACACACACATGCCAAAACTCATTTCATGGGTCACAGGGTACAATCATCTGAGAGGCCAACAAGCAAGCAATAGAAGAATAAAAAAAAACCTGGCCAAAAATTGATTATGGCGATGGCTGCAACGCCTGAGGGTCGAAGTAGATGTTGGTCAAACCAAGCAACTATCATCAAAATCCTATTAGTTGGGGGGGCCATGCAAAACCACGCCCCAAAAAACAGAATCCAGCTTTGTCCTTGTTCAGTTGCCTGCGTTTTGTCAGCGTTTATTTGCCAAATTAATTCCCAAAAAGGTAAGCCAAACTTGCGATTTGAAACAATCAGCGCTGGCAAGGTTAGAACTGGCCCTTTACCCTCACCCCATACACACACACATAAACACACACACACACAAAAGATATATCCTTTTGTCCTTTTTGTGTTGCTGCTGCAACTGTTGTTTGCCCAGCGGGCAGTTGCCGCCACCTCAGCCAGCACACAATTTGTGACAATTCCTTTTTGCGGATTAATATTTGCTCTGCTTCTATCTCTATCTCGCTCTCCCTCTCTCTCTCTCTCTCTCTCTCACTCTTAGCTTCTATTTGTAACTCTCCCCTTCTTGGCCTTCTGGCCAGTCACCCTGGGACCCTGACCGGTTGCGCTTTTGCCTGCCCTCCGTTTGTTTGTTTCGGCTTGTTTCCACACTTTATTTAAATTAACATGCGCATATTTTTTAATAGTCTCGTGTGTGGCCAAAGCAAATTCAGGGCTCTGCTAAGGGTTCCCTTTTAGGACAAGGTGATTTCGGGCAAGGGGTTTCTATTGTGATTTGAGGCCCAAGATAGTTATTTTTAATGCTGTGCTCATTGTTTTAGAACTTTATAATGTCTTGGGGTTCTGTGCCAAAGTATTATTAAGATAAGCAAAATTGGTTTACTTTCAACCCAAAAGTTTTTTGTCAAAATTTCTCAAGAGGACAAAACATAATTATAGCTTATTACAATTAAGTCATAAATACTTTAGTAGTCAAATTAAATCGACCCGATTTATTAGCTCTCCATCAAAAGCTGATTTTCGTTTTAAAAATGCAATTATATTAAAAATTGCTGGCATATCAATTCATATGCTGCCTTTCAATTGATAAATATATAATTTTTGTTATTACTATTGACTCATATAAATGAAATCATCGAGTGCCATACGATGCACTTTGGCAAAGTATTTCATTTTCGTAATTGCAACTGAAAATAAATGTGCACTTAACTTTGCAGTAATTGAAAAATGCGCTTAGCAGCAAACGCAATAAGAAATGCTTAAGCAGGCCAAATGTGGGCGGTTGCAAGGATCCATTGAAAGGAACACAAGAAACGGAGATGCGACCGAACGATAAGAGATACCAAACAGTCTTAAGGCGTGCAGGACCAAGTTCCCTGACACTAGAAAGCCCCACATACTTGCAGTTGCAAGACTCATTGTGAAATAAAAAAATATATAGATATCTGTACACATAGCATGGTCTAAAAATTACGCTTTTTACTCGCACAAGTTGTAGTCCTGCTACTGATTGGACGATGTCTGGGTGGGCATGACACATATCCTGATATATGGCTAAGCGAGTGCAAGCAACTCCTTTTTGTTGCACGTTGCACAATGTCTGACAAAGTTGGCGTCGTTTATTTTTTTGGTGAGCCTTTCGCTCCTGGTCAGTGTTCTTGGCGTATGCACTAAGATGCCACTTGAAGGACACTAATGCGACTATCGTACAGCAAGAAGGATAGTTGACTTGAAAAGTTGCAGTCCCTTTCTGTTAAAGATCCATTTATTTGGAACTGTAACAAAGAGCATATTCATAATATCTTTAAATTATTATATGCACATATTCAAACATCTGAGCCTAAAAATGTGTTTTCAATAATTAATATAATTTTTTTGGAGTGCATGTAAAATATTGGAGCGAACTCAACTGCGATATGGATTGATAAATAATAATAATGATCCCTAGCAGCTTATTTAACTAACAAAATTGTCTATAATTCGAAACTTATAATTACATATTGTCTTTAAATAATATAATAATTGAAATAGCTGAGCCTATAAATATGTTTTCAAAATTCTGCAAATTTTTAATAATTTAATGTATTTAAAATAATTTCTCGAACTTAACTACAGGCCAATTTGTCAAGTAAAATAAATAACAATATTTATAGATATACAAATTGTTGTAATAGTTTGTTAAACTTGCCAACAAGTTAAACAACTTGTGCATTTTGCCTGTAATTCGAGATGGGCTATTATAGCTCAGTAAAACATGCTTCCAAATGATTCTGTGCAACAAGTTCACGCCCGCCAAGCCCAATACTCAATAGTCTTAGAGCAGCGATTTGAATTTCAAAAGCAATTGATGTCGCAATTCAAGCGGTATCACAAGTGTCAACACTCTGCGTACACTTGCCACTTTTATTGGCGTCGTCTTATTTCCTCACCAACAAAAACAAGTAATCCAACTGAACAATCCATGACGAAATTGTAGCGCCAACTGCAAATGTGTTCTCTCTTCTCGACTCATTGGCCTACTGACCAGCTGTTCGCAACGAAGCTGGAGTTGCGACATTTGCAAGCCGCGCTCAAATCAAGTTTTTCTACAAACCGATTGCAACGAAAGTGAGGGGGCCAAATATTGAAAATTGTAAAATATTTTTCGCAAATTTCATTTAGTTTTCATTCACAGTTTGCCGCAGCTGGTTGTTGCAGATCGCAAAGAAAACGTGCTATTAACCAAAATGAGGGAACTCCTAGGGTCCATTGTGCTACTCGCAATGACAGCTCGCGTAGTTCGAGGCGACGAGGCTTTTTTGACGGAGCCGCGTAAGTCTGAGGAGTGGAGTGTTTAGTGGTTTCCTAATTGGTTAATCTGCTTAAAACATTGAAATAAAACAATTAAGAGTGCCTCAGTTGAGAGTGCCTGACCGGGCAAACCCCATTATCCAGGACTAAAATACGCAAGACGTACACAAAACACACACGCCTCAAATATGCTGGAAGCAATGCCTGTGCTTCTTTTTCTGAGCTCTGCAACAAGAATTTTATTCATATATTCTTCAGTGCTTATTGTTTGTTCGTTATAAAAGTTGATAACTAAAATGGATAAATCTAAATTCAAAATCATAAATCTTAGAGTACAAGTTTTCATATTTGGCAGTTGAAGGGAAGATATCCAGAAGGCTAAATATTCTTTGTCTGTGTATGCTGAAATTTGATCCCTTGTGATTTTATAACTTTCAAGGTATTTGCAGAATGCTGCTCATTTAAATTAATTTAGTGAAAACAAAAGATGTTCTCGATAAATAAAATAAAATTGATCTGCGTAGCATATTCAACAGCTGAAAAAAGTTAACAGAAGTCTCACACTACATTTAATTAAAAAAATCTTTTAAGAATCATACAGAGCTATGGTAGGCTATGATTCAAATATACTTGAATGGTTAATAAAAGCAATATAATCCTGGCGTGGCCGGCACACATCTGTAACTAACCCACTTAATGGCTTATTGCCAAAAATATTGCACCACTAAACCGGATTTGTTTCTCTGTTTCGTGTGTGTCTTTTTATTTTTAAATTCAACTCATCTGAACTCAAAAACCAAATTCTAATCGAACCGCAGCAGATTACATTAAACAATGTACAATAGCCGATAAGAATTTTGTCAACTGTTCCACGCAAAGCATTCAACAGCTCTTCGACAAATTGAATGACGGTGAGTTTCAGAACATAACATTAAAATATGTATGCACATTAAATCATATCCTGCTCAGGCATACCGGGGCTGACGAGCATCAAAAGTTTTGATCCCTTCCATTTGAATCGCATTCGAATATCGCAGGGCAACAGCAACGCCATCAATCTGAAAGTCGAGCTGGCCAATGTGAAGATCATTGGTTTTGGTCACACCAATGTGTTAGAGAGTGTGTAAGAAGCCAAATAATGATATAGCTAAGTGAAATCGAAGTATTTGAATGTGTTCTATCCCACAGTGTGTATAAAAAGGATTATAGCTGGAAGACAATATTCACGTTGCCGGTGATGAAGCTTCTAGGCGATTATAGTTTATTTGGTCGAATTCTACTCATACCACTAAATGGTCGTGGTCAGGTATTTCTGGATGCTGAAAATATGACCGTCACCATGCAGACAAAGACGCGGCTTTACTCCAAGGGCGGCTTCACATTCTACAATGTGACCAATTGTCACGTGGACTTCAAAATGGACGGCCTAAAGTCATATTTCTCCAATCTCTTCAATGGCAACAAGCAATTGGGTGAGTTGAGTAATAGCTAGGATTCTGTGGAAGCTCCGCTTAATTCTTGCTTCTCTTTTTAGAGGATAGCACAAACAAGTTCTTCAATGATAATTGGCGAATGCTGGCCGATGCTCTGTACACAGTGATCACACAGACAATCGAGGATATTCTACTTGATGTTCTGAAGAAAATTTTTCACTTTATTCCAGCGAATTATTTTATTAGCGATATTCCCACGCCAGAGCAGCTCTATGGCAAAATAAAATCGCTGCCAAAGTAATTATAATACGGAAATTGGGAATAGTAGAGTCATTTATTGGTTTCGGTCAGCGAAATAAAACTATTTAAGATAATATTACAAATTGTTTTCATACAGAGATTAAAAATCATAAAATGAGTAAACAGAAGAAAGGATTTATCATATTTTAAAATTCAGGGTTCTTACTAAATTGATAAATTTTGTTCAATCCCTCATAAAAATATCTATAATAAAATCATGGATATAAAACATCTACAAAGATATGCCATTTGGGTGGGTTAGTTAAATAAAATGAATTTGTCCAATTATTTATCTACTGCATCATCACATTTAATTAGACTTAATTTAAAAATGTTCTATATATATATATTTTACTACTGAATACAATTTATATATTTAAATTTGACGTCCAAAACTCTATTAATTCATTTAATTTTGGTTATTTGGCCAACTACAGGAAAACCCAGGTCAGCTGCAATTCTCTTCAATTAAGCCATAAGCATGAAAAACTAAGTTCGGTAGTAAGTTTGGGCAGTCGGGGAATGCGCTGGGGTTAACCACAAATACGGAAAAGCTAAAGCCATGTGTTTAAATTAATTGCCGCAAACAGACCCAAACCCTAAATTAATTTTTACCCTATTTAAATAAAAAAGTTTAGTAACATTGCTCAGGCGGAAGATGTCAAGTTCGAAACTGTGCAATATATTTACTATATATTCCTGTTTATCCAAAGTACGAATCACAAAGTATATTACCTGATATAATTGTGATATTTTAAATTCAGCTTTGTAGAGTGTTGAGTAAAGATCACATAATGGTTTGTGTGAATGCACAGTTCAGAATCAGGAATCTCATCTCAATAGAGATACATATTTCATTCCTGGGTATCCTCTGGTTGAGCGCTCGCTTGTATTGTTTTTTTTTTCTCACGTTGTCCCTTTGCCGCATTGGCTTTTTGAAGTCTGCCCATAATTTGCGAGTGCAGCGAATGTTCATGTTGTTGCCGTAACAATTGTTGTTGTTTTTAATTTGCCAGCACCACAATTAAAACGTTTGACGCAGTGCCAACCATTACAAATGTCCGGCAATTAGTTTAAATTTAATGGGCAGTGCGTTTTTTGGCTTGCTTCATACATATGCATATGTTTATATGTACGTATACCTATTGGATATGTATAGTTGCAGCATTTTGCGGTTATTGTTCGCCATTTCTTTTTTAGGCTCTGAATACCAAAGTGACAAATCCTGTGCGTGATTGCAATAAATTTTGGTAACTCCAGAAACAAGGCATGCCCCAAAATGCAGTTGCACACAAGGTAAACAACGGGATACGAAATGGCAGACAGTGGAAAATGGTACGCGAACAAAAAACCCAAAGACAAACAAATGGAAAAACTATCATTGGGACATGATAACTTCAATACACTACCTAAAACCAAATCGTTAGCGCAGTAAGATAGGACAAAGATTTTGGACAGTAAGTGTTTCAAGATTTTATAAGGAGTAATATAGATTGACATTATTTTGAGAATCTCTATTTGTCAAAAGAGCAATCAAACTTTCTATTTGACTTATACTGTAATTGTGTTATTCCAGAACTGTCATTTCAAATGAAAACGAAACATATTCTATCGACATTTTCTAGTCATACCTGAAGCTGAATCGTTCAAATGTTACGAAAAATTGCATAGCCCTTCGTTGAAGTATTCAAAGAGTTTTCATTGACAAAGTGTGTGGATCTCCGTATCCAGTGTGTTTTAGTACGTGTTTCAGGCAGGCAGCGAGCAGTTGAAAGTATTTCAATATTCGCAGCCAATGTTGTTCAATATTTGCAAGAGCCCCGGCTCCCTGGCACTCTCCATTTTTTGACAACGTGTTCGGATAGTGCTTTTGCAAAACGGAGCCTAAAGGTAAGCAATGCTCTTTTGTAAGTCACCGACTTAACGTAGGCTTTTAGTGTGCTGGCTATTGCCAATTTCCAATACACAATCAATATCCTTGGGTTTCCTCACAAAATAAAATTGGTTAAAATAATACAAAATGTTATATTGTCTAAGCCAACTTAATATCACTAGTTAAGGCCACATTTAAATCAACATCCACATTTACAATCTACTGACATTTATTTAAAATTACCATCATATTAACAAATCTCTAATTAGATCATTTGCCAGCTCGATGGATGCCCATAAATTAAATATTTAATTATTTTGTCCACTCAGCGCCGTTGCCCAATTAATTATAAAATAATTTCAAATTAAATGATGTCATTGCAAATATTAAACGTTTTTTTATGGATAAAAAACACAACAGTCTGTTGTTTAAAATGAACACGAACTTTAAAGCCAAAATAATAAAAATTTATGGCCAAATAATTGCAATCTCATTAGGACACCCCCGAAACCAGAACATGAACATGACACCAGTGCGATCCCAGCCAATTTGTTGAGCCAGAGCCATTCGGGGATGCGTAAATATAAATATCCGCATTTTGTAAAATATTTAACAATAATTGAGCGTAAAATAATCGCACGAAATGTGCCGGCCATCGATAAAGTCCTCGCTGCTCCCAGCTGGCCCCTCCAGCCTCCCCCATTTCCCCAGTTGCTGTTGCGCGTTAATTGCAGCGATTCTGTTGCCGTTGCTGATTCTGTTTCTGTTACATTGCCCTGCACATGGACACGGATTGCGGCGGCAATTGTAATTAAATAGACACCACACATGGCAGACGCTCCTGTCCTCTGAATATTCAGACAACATATGCATACGTGCAGCAATCGGCGGCGTATTGGTTAGGCAACGGGCAAAGCTGCAATGAAACTGCATGAGATACTTATGCGAGTCTTGCGACACAACTTTGTGCAGACAGTGGACTAAAAGCCAATGTTATTGCATAAAATTAAATTCAATTACGATATTACAAGAAAATCAAATTGAAAAGTAAACCATCAAAGTTCGTATGCATTAAAATATTTACTATTAAAAATAACGCCCAAAAATATTCTACAAAACAATGAAAGTTCGTTCAAATATGTTGTGGATTACCACAGTTTTTAAGCAAATTATATATAAAATACAAAAAAAAATTCATAAATTAACATTATTAAGGGTATATGGATGTATGTTAGCAATATTGATTCCTGTACTTTGACTTCCATTCTCTGATATTTTCGTTGTAACTGACAGGTGATTTTTTTCAGCGAAAAATCAGACAGCAGAGTGGCGCAGTGGAAGCGTGCTGGGCCCATAACCCAGAGGTCGGAGGATCGAAACCTTTCTCTGCTATGTGTAAAAATTTTCTTTTTTGTTTCGTTCCCTTTTTCATATTAATAAATAATTTAATTTTTATTGATTACCAAATTATAATTTAATCACTTTATTTGATTTCCCAAAAATGTATCTAAATCTAAGTACTCCGCCAACAGAAAGTTATGAAACATCTCATCTGTTAATTAAATGTATATTTGTGTAACATACTTTTTGGAGCCCAATAGAATTAAAAGATTTTGATTTAATTTGTGACCCATCCTAAAAGTATGCTATGGATATTATTTTCATCAATTCACACAATAAACTTGTTTAAATTACTAAAAATATATTTACATTTACAAATAAGCAGCTAACAATATTTTCAAATAGTGACAATTGTTTTTCATTCAAGCCAAATCACTATTAATTCACAAATCGACCATTTTTTTGAAAATATAATTTTCCCTATCTGTATGAAACCAGTTTCCTTTTTTATAACGAAAGCTAATTAAGTTACCTTTCCTCCAGACACACATATAAGCTATAAAAGTTTAAGCACGAAGCTTTTAGTTTAGTTTTTTAGTGTCAAACAATATGGGTGCATCACTTATTTGTACAATAACTATAATATTGCTAGATGGATGTTTAGCTCTTTTTAATTAATCCTTACGAATTCTAGAAATTTTTGAATTACATGCATAATATGTATTACTTATGCTTATTTAATTAAAATTAAATCATATATAAAAATTAATATCAACATAAATTATTTAAAATCTTATGACGTGGCTAGGATTTGAATTCACGAAGACCAAATATTTATAAAGCAGCTAAAATAAGCTATTTGCCACATGCCAAGCAAACAGCAGAGTGGCGCAGCGGAAGCGTGCTGGGCCCATAACCCAGAGGTCCGAGGATCGAAACCTTGCTCTGCTAATATGATTCTGGTTGCGTCGAATCGTGCAACACCTTTTTTTTCTTCTTAGTTTTGCCCATTGTACGTTGCTGACGTGGATTTTATCTCATTTACCATGAAAGTTTTGTTCATTTATTTAAAGTAATTGAGTTGTTGCTGGCTTTTATTTTGCTATGTACACTTTTGCACACATGCACGAATTTCCTACTATATGGATGCCTCTGTATGCGTAAAACTCTATTGATGCCATTTAAATAGGCATATTTGCGGTCAACTTCGATTTTGCGGCGCAATTTTCTCGTAACTTCATAAAATAAATATCATTCGATTTTAATTGATGCTCTTGTTGGAGTTGTTTTCAGTTGTTTAGTGAACCATGTCATTAACACGAAAACTACGTGTGTGGAGCATTAGCAGTTTTTATCGTATCTGGATTCGGCATATATATAAATATGTATATGTTTATGTATATGTATGTGAGTAAAAAGCGAATAAATCTTTGCTGATGCGACGATTATTACACTTACAATGAGCTACTTCAATTTGCTTGCGTAATTTGTTGACAATAACCCAAGTAAACAGCGTTCTTGGAAAAGAAAGTCAAACAATCAGCAGTGATGGCCAGGAGAAAAGAAAACCCCATCGTAATAAGAATTTTACTGACTTCCGTTAAGAACGCTTGCCAGCGGCAGCTGCGTCGTTTTACAAGATTTTATTTACACCTACTGTGAAAATGTTTACACTTCAACAGACAGCGGCAATAAGCAGAGGACGACGAAACTGAAGCTGAATAAAGGTGGATGCCCCTCTCTACCCCATTGAAATGAGCAATATGTAAACCTCCAGGACGCCAAAGGCAGCGCCCCCAAACAATTGAAAGTGGATTTCCGGCTTAAAAAATTGCTCAAAAGCCAGTGAAGACGCTGAGATGACGACGCAGTCAAATGCTAAAACTCATAAAATGAACGAGGAAGAGTCGAAAAGTAAAAAAAAAGAAAAGCTAACGGCCTGCATAATATACAGGTGTGGATAGGTGGTGGCAAGAACTAAGACGAGGACTGAGACAGAGGCAGAGTCCCTTGTTAGAGCGTAAATTTATGTAAAATTTGTAACAATTGCAATAAGTTCGGTGCCCAGCAGCAGCATAGCAGCATGAAGATTGGGCAATTTGTGTGTGCAGGAACAAATAAATATTTTTGATTCGGTCTGAATTTTATGCGTATTTTAAACCGGTTGAGGTAAACCCCAAATGCTTAAAGTGCTTAAGTCAAACGCTTTTACAATTTACAGAGCAGTTCAAGTATCAAAAATGGGAAGATGCAACGAACTACAACTCAATTTACTTAAATACAAGCATATTTTTAAATGGTAAATGGCATTAAAAACTTTACGAAAAACTGATTACAGTTTCTCCACAAGTACTATTTACCAAGCACTCCATGAGTCTGATTGTGAAACTGTTGGCACTGCCAAGCCAATAATGTACAGAGCATCTTAAGTAATACACAGAGTAGTATGCGAACCCAAACCTCAACTCCAAGAAACACCCTACCCAAAGGCTAAGACTGTCAAAATTAGCTCTCAGCTGGCAACGCCTCAAAGCGCAAATATTGAGCCAAGCTGGAAGGAAAAACTGAATGAGCCTCAGAGTGAGTGGAGCTTGTGCTTCAAACGAGGAGTTGGCAGACAACATTTCATTTCATCACAATTTTCGACTCGCCTATTTTTCTCACTGCCTGCCGACTGTTATTTTTGGCAATTTGTTTGTTTGCCAATTGTCTGCCGGTTATGCTTATCCTTTTTGTGTTGGCCCAACTGATTTAATAAGATTTCATTTCTATGGCTGTCTTTTTATGCCAATTAACATAATTTTTGTAAGTGGATTTTTCATAGTTGAGCGGCATCCGAATAGAAAACCTTAAAACTCGCCTGTGCTTTAGAGAAACTTTGCAATGCCATTGAACTCGGTAAATTTAATCAAAATTCGTGCGCTATTCGTAGCCCCAGCGATAAGGCATCTATATAAAAAGACCAAGTTGGGCTATAAACAGAGTTAACACCCTTTCGCCTTTCTTTTTGCTCTTTGCCGACCCAAAGGCATTTGCATTTGCCAGCACTTCAATTATGTGACAAAAATTATTATGCCAACTTCATATGCTATGCGATTGCGATTGCGATTTCGACTGCAGATATTGTCTGCGAAACTCTGAAAAAAAAAACGGTCAAAAACTTGAGGAGTATGCAAATTGAAAAGTCGAGAGCAATGCTAACCCACAGAACCAACAAGCAAAAACCGCTTCGTTTTCGAGGTTAAGGTCTTGAGCACCAGTTGGCATTAAAATGTACAAGTTGTCGTCGAAAAGAAGACGGTATACAGTTGATATTACAAAGTTACGATTGGCCAACCACTTTAAAATTATGATATAATCATAAAAGACGCATAGAAAAATGACAATGTGTTCTATTTATAGTTCAATAAACTCATCATAATTGGGAGTGGTAATCAATAAATCGCCTATTGCCAATATCTTCTCGAATTTTTCTTCTGGTGTTCTCCTCCAGTTCATTTCTCAGACTATCAATTTGCATGTCTAACCCACATTTAAGAGTTTTTTTTTTTTTTATTATCAAAAATGTTTAAAATAAAAGTTCGAAAGGCTCAGGTGTTGCTTAGAATGTTTCACAATATTTGAATTCTAATTTAGTTTTGTTTGTTCTCTTTGTTCTACCTCACATAATTTGTACCTGGGATTTCCCAATGGATCATTGCTTATTCGCAATTTATAGACGGACTATAGATTTTTTTTGTCCATGTCTTAAGACTGAGTCATTGAATTGAGTGCTGTATGTGATAAGAATTTAAAGATCAATGTAGATCTAGCTGCTCCACATTTGGCGCAGATTTAAAATATTCACCATCAGCTTTCAGTAAATAAATAGATTATCGTAACAATTATTATATATTATAGAAATAATGAGCTCAAAATAAATAAAAGTCAATTGAATTTAATTCCAATCAACACAAATTTGTTTCATAATAGGCCAACGGTTTATATTTTCATTAAAAAATGCGTAAGGTTAAGCTGGCCAAATAAATTCAATAAAAATCATTGAAATGTCAATAATTGAAACTCGAAAAATGCAATAAATTAAATGACCAAAGATCGAAATAAAAATAGCATTTTTATATAGTAAATTGAATTTGGACAATTCAAGGGGCACACAAATGGCATAAATTTGTCTGACCTGTCGTTGTCGTTTATGGAAGGACATTGAAATACGTGGGAACAAGAAGAAGAACAAATAAAATTAAACACCCAAAACATTAGCATAGGCTTTAAAACATGAACAAAGGCAAATGCCGCTAGTTAATTATTCAAGTAAGCATTGAAATATAATAAATATAATGTGTACATATAAAACTTGGAGTCTTTTCTAACGTATTGCACTTTGCAAGTGCTTTTTCAGAAGCAACTGTGACAATTTATTGCCGTCTTATGCTTAGATAAATGTATATATATTCTTTTATGTGCTGGCTGCTGACTCACGAGACTCAACGAGAGACATTAGTGCTGTCAACGACTCTTGGCTCAAGCGATGTGCAGTGCATCCTTAATTACAGAAAGTATAGTGGAGACTACCCTTCCAAACCCCATGCCACATACCTCATTCTCTGCTTTGTTGCTCGTTTTCTGGAATTACTTGGAAATTTGCAAAAGAAAAAACAGCAGTCAACTATTTGCAAGTTTTTATTATGTTTTGGAGAGATGTCGGCAAACTTTACGAGTATTTCTATATATTTATATATATATAGAGAGAGAGATATCTTCTTTGTAGGCTATCGTGATTACGTGGCTTGTTTACGAAATGCACGCATGAGTAATGAGTACGTTTATAAAGATTTGAACGATGTAAACGGCATTATTTAAAGGGGACAACAGCTACTACATCCGCATTATTTGATGCATCCTAGCAATATCAGTCTAAATCAACACGCGAGTTCTACGAACCATCCCAAAACATACCTACATACCATACAACAATCTCGCTCTAAATCATTGTCGTCTGTTGCTCATCGGGGTATATCAACGTCTTGGCCCCCATCTTCGTCTCTGTGTTCCTAGGTTCTTCGCTCGTCGGCGGCTATTATCAGCGTCATCAATTCGCTGCCTGCAGACAGCCTGTCACCGTCGGGTAAACATGTGAATTTCGCAGTCGAGCTGGCAAACACGTGACAATGAAGGTGACTCTTACCCCTGTCTCTGCATCTGTCGCTGCCTCTGCTTTTGTGGGTGATGAGCAGACAGGCAGGAGAGGACAACGTAGTCCAACTACCCGATGACGGTGTCTCTGACGATGCCTCATAGTCGACAATGACGTCAATTGTGCGACAAAAGCCATTTTGCATACTAAAATCAGACAAACACTGAAGCTAGGCAGGCAGGCGGGCAGGCATGCAGGAGACATGCTCGCATATTGCACGCTGACTATAATTCAAATTGAAGACCGAAGTTTTGACAAATTTATAACATTCAAGACACCTTTATTAAACATCAATTATATATAAATACATAAATACATACACACATAAATAGTAAAATTTGAAAAAATGCTGTCTCACTTAGCCCATGCTAAACATTTTGAGATTATTGAAGCCCTTGGACTTATCGACACGTCCATAAAGTATACCCTTCAATATCTGTTCGTTCTTTGGCCCGGAGAAACGGAAGCTGCTCTTGAAATTGGTCTCCGGCAGAAAGCTTGGCAACAACTCCTCATCCACTCGATAATTCTGCAGTGTGTAAGTGCCCTTTTTGACGGGACACTCAGTGAACCACTTGCCATAACGCATCATATCCTGATAGATACTGCGCATCAGCGGCTCGGAATTGCGCTCTCTTATCATCTTGCAAAAATTGAACGTCTTACTGAGCAAGTTCGTATAGTTGCCCGTATTCGTTTCCAGAGCAATACTTGCTGATAGATCTACATCATCTATGATCTCAATGGTGTTGAGAACAAGGCTAAGACCACTGCCAGTAGTGTTTATGGAATGTACTTTGACATCGACCAGTTTGGAATTCGCCTCGAAGTCGAAGCGCGTGAAATCAATTTTGAATGAACGCTGATGTAATATGAAGATGTAGATGAATTACTGATTTTCCAAAAATAAAAACTATTTTCTTCTGATCCCTTAACTTACCCATCCCAATGTTTTGGGGCAGCTTAGTAAAAGCATTAAAGCCGGGAAAGAAAAACTTTGAAAAACAACTGAACGCATTTTCGTTAAATTATTTACTGGTAACGCTTAAGTCAGTCAATGTCATAATATAATAAAGTACTAATGATCAAGCATCAATAGAGGTCAAATTGTATTGTACATTAAGAGTTCCGATCAAATCGCACAATACAATGGCAAATTTGGTCAACTAAGTGTATTCAGATGACTTTGAAACCATTTGAAAATCATTCAGGCATTTTATTTCAAGTCCACTTATCCGATAGCATCGATTTCAAATTATTTTTTTTTATTTTTCAAAACTATATATAGCGTGTTGTTTATTGAGAACTGACAGACATCATAAATCATGTTGTTCTACATAGTGCTTGTGGTCCAGATCCTTCTGGCTCTTTGCCATGGCAGCCTGGCTGAGGTGATCAATCAGAAAAATATATAATTAATTATAAATTGAACTTCACATAATCGATTTTGCATTCGATAGAAAATGATGCGACCCAAGTTCAAGGACATCAAGGTCTGGAGTGAAGAGAAGATGGTTAGTCACAAGATTGCCTACGACAACTCGGATCCGCATTTGAACTTCTCCATGGAGGTTCACCAGGAACTGCAGGATGTCGATATACATTTCGATGTGCGCATAACCAACAAACAGGATCCTTATTACACATCCAGTCTGAACACCACTCTCAACATTTGTCGCATTCTCAACTTTGCTAACAAATCACCGGTGGGACGATTTGTTCACGGTTTCATACGCGAATTTGGCAACATTGTTGAATCCTGTCCAATAGCGAAGGTGAGTAATTGTATCTCTCTTTCGCTCTTTTTATAGTCCTTTTGGCTTCCGTCGAATTTTTTAGGGTAAATACAAAGTTCATCACTTACGTTTTAATCGCCATTTGCAGGGCTCCTACTACATCAACAAATTCTGGTGGCCAGAGGATCCAACCACAGCCATTCTGCCTGATCTTGAATTCGAAATTCACTTCAACGCCCAACATTTGGATGCCAGCAAGAAGCGCACTCTCATCATGAATGATCAAATTGATGGCGTCTTCACAGTTCAGGATGTAAACAATCTAAAGCCCGGCATATTTGCCATGCTGCCCAAGAGGCGCTAAACCTATAACTAAAAGCTACCTTAAATGCTAAAAGTTTTTATCGTTATTCAACACATTCAATGTCTCAATGGTATTTTTTATTTGTCTATCAGTTTTCTTTTCAATGTATAAATGAGCAATCACATTTGCTAATAAACGCAAACAAAAAAAAAAACTATGTAGATTTTCTAACAAGGGTACAACGGGCTCGTTTGTAATTTGGACAAGAAAGAACATCAAAAATTAAATATTCATTTAAACTGATGAAATGGGATTTGTTATAGGTTGATATTGATATTTCTTTGCCAAACTCATAGCTAAAGCTTAAAAGTGCACAAAGATGCTATCGAAATCAACTTAAGTATTTAATATAATATAATACAAGTGTTTTTGTTTTTCTGTATTGGTATCCCTGTACGATAATTGCCATGAAGTTGTCTAATACTGTCATTTTCAAAATATTCTCATCCAACGTGTCATTTATCAACAGAATTGTTCGTATTTTTCAACAGCCGGAATTTGCATATTTTTGGCATATTGCACAAATTGAATTAAAATGGGCCGTCAAATGGGCCATCAGAATATAGACAGCAGGCAAGCAGGCAGCTCAAATAAAAAATTAATATTCAATATATTTGCAATGAAATGTTTTTGACTTGCGTCGTGTTTATTGTATACTCTGTGACAGTTTGCGAATTTTAAAATCGCTTTTGGCTATTTCTCCCCAGCGAGGTGACAATCGCTTTGATTTCGTGAACATTTTGTATGATTTATGCGACTTAAAATGGCTATTGAGATATTGAAGCTGTTAAGCTTATTGAGGAATTGACGAAGCTATAAATGTGTGAATAACAATTGCGCATTGCTAAAATGTATGTGTGCAAACATTGAAAATTTCCACAATACTTTTTAAATATCCCGATAAGAACTAAACCACTTAACTTGTATTGTAACTTAGTCGTCTGTTTAGTACAAATGCTTATATTGATTATTATTTTGACTGCAAAAGTCTGATTTGCTTTAGGCAATATATATACAATTATCCAGAATATCCGACGAAATCAATTATTTCATGCAATCAGGGAATAATTAACATGCACCTGTGCATTTAAATTTCTTATGAACAAAATTCTAGCTTGTTTGCTCATTTGTCGTACGAAATTCTTTTCAAATAGTCGAAATTATGAAAGGTATAACGCATTTAGTAATTATTCTGTGCGTTATGAAGTGTGCGACAATGGTAAAGTTTTGTTTATTTTTTATAAATAGTCTAACTGTATTCAAGTTCTTAATTCTTGTATTTAGGCGACAAAAGCAATCTCTTCCAAGCCACCGAACTGTAATAAATTTAATCGGAACTATTTACAAAACTTCGCACTAGCTATAAATAATTCCGTGATGAATTTAGATGTGGATCTGATACGACCACTAGACTCGGGCCTACGGCTAAATATTGAGTTCTTCTCCGGTAACCTTAAATCGAGTAACTACCAAAGCTTTTATCAATACTCTCTCGACATGTGCAATCTTCTAAATGTTCGAAAAATCAACTTGTTCAACAAATGGATTACTAATTTCATACAAAATGGCAATTTTATACGTGGTTGTCCCTTCCCAGCGAATCATTATTATATCAAAAATTACAATAGTTCGGGACTTGTTATTCCATCGTTCTTTTTTAAGGGGTCTTATCGCATAGCTATTACTTTGTTCCAGAACAAGAAAGAATAAAGATATCCTGACTTTATTCTAGAATGTATTCTGGATGTTGACGTTAAATAATAAACTTTAGTATTTAAAATACAACGAAACATTGGATATTTATTTAAGAATTGAAACTTGAACGAGATACAATCTCAATTGAAAATGGTTATTCAGTTAAATTTTTATTATGACAAAATGGTCAAATAACTTAACATTAATTTTGGCTACCATAATTACCCATTCAAATACGGTTACGCGCCGCTAAGCATTGGAGACAATAAAAGTCGGAAATATATTTCAATAACAATCTATTGTTGAAATTGTCTTACGATAAAGCACAATGTTTTCAATCACCAGTAAATTGCTTATCACTATAGTTTCATTGGGATTAACAAATATTATTTTGGTATGTTATTGTATTCAAACTATTATTTCACTTACTGAATTTTAAAATAATATTCACAGTCAACCAAACTGGAATTCAGAAGCGGCAATTGTAATTTTAAGCATGATGTCTTCTCCAACTTTACAATTAAATTCGCCAATAGTAACGCTAACATTGATATGATTATAGTAAGCATATTACCTTATGGCCTAAAGGTCCATTTGAGTTTTGGGATGCGTATGTCCAAGGAGAAGGCATATCAAATCGTTTTTCAACATAATATAAAAAACTTCTGTTCTCTGATCAAAGGCACGCAGAAATCACTTTATAGTCGCTGGTTCGCCGACATGCTAAAGCATGGTAATTTTGCGACTAGCTGTCCCATTCAGAGAGGTTATTACTACTTGCATAACTGGGGTTTGGATACGAGTTTGGTGCCCTCATTTCTATACATGGGTGACTATCAATTGGGTCTCCGTTTATATTATGGCAAGTACAAGAAAAATGACTATGCGCCAATCCTGGAGTGCATTATGCAAACGTTGTTGGTTTGACGACAAGCTCAATCGAATTTAATAAACATATTGCATTTGATTGTGCGTCAATAAGCCTGAAGTGTTTACAAGTTTTTTAAACAACAATTTAAATGATATTCTCAGTAGATATCCTATTTATGTAGCTTACGGCGGGCTCGAAATTTATATTAAAAATAGATCTGGTCTTGATAACTGGTCAAGTAGGATCAATAATATCAGTATATTTTCACCTATTCATAAACCCCTTTAAAAGAATATGAAAAAACCGGTGTAAAAATGTAAATCATGGTAAGCCTAAAAAAATCATTTCGCTCACAAAGGATTTGTTTTCACTTTGTTAAGCTTGTGAAACTTGTGGAAAAAAGTTGAAGGGTCAAGCCAACGGCCATTTAAGCTCCATTAGACAAGGATACACAAAAGGCTCTCACGCTCCAATGTACGAAAATTCATTGTTCAATATAGCCAGCTGCTCCCAAATCCACACTCACACTTTGATACACCAAGGAACACAGACATATGCTGGCAACTGCTTAGCTTATGCTCGCAAACTGATTCCAGTTGTAAATCTTGAAAAATTGCCATTCAATGCAAATATTTTGAAAGCATTCATCAATAAGTTGGCTAGAAGTTGGCGAGACTATTCGATGTGTATTATTGGCTGAGTATCGAGCAATGAAAATCTCTAATTTGGTATTACAGTACATATTTTTCAAAGCTATAACTGACCTTTGCTAAAAGTGTGAAACATTCATAACAGTGAAATATTTTGGATCGATTTGCTAAAAGTGTGAAACATTCATAATAGTGATGTATTCTTTTTATCGATTTACATCGACTGTTGAACCCACTTTTTTGCAGTGTAAAGACAGCTGAAATAAACATAATAAATTGTAATAATAAATTGTAAAAATTCACATTTTTAATAAACGCTAATTTTTAATTATTAAAATCTATTATAAATTAATTATTATATCTAACTTTCTTAATAAGCTTAGTAACTGCAGTCCCTGATTAAATTAAATTATCCCAAGCAGCGAAGGTAGTTCTTCAAGTAAAAATATTTGCGGAGCAGAAATGTAATGAAATTTCTTTCAGCGCATTCTTAGGGCAACACATGGCCCAAGCCACTGCCTGCCACAACCTTCACATATGGCACAGCCAGTCAGCCAGTCAAATCTGTCCATTTGGCTAATAAATCCTTGAGCAGCTTATTGAGCAACGTCTGCGCATAAATATTATGGCTGGCAACTGGCCGAGAACAAGGACGCAGGACGACAGTCACATAGCACTTTGCGATGCGATGCGATGCGATGCAATGCCTCCATTCGCTTTTCACTGGATGCCTTAAAGCACACTTTCCCGCTCCTCCGCCAGCCCCCTATGGCATTAAAGCGGCGCACTCTGTGACCGCCTCGTACGTGTTAAATACAATTCGACTCTGCTTCTGTTTTCCCTTGTTTTATTTTTTTTAACTCTGTCACTCGTCTGCAAATTCTTGAGCTGACATTGGATTTCGGTTGACTGTCGTGTTGGTATGCCTGCCCAGAACTTAAGTCGTGGTGTTATTGTTATTGTTATTGTTATTGTACTGCTGGTTGTGGTGCTTTCTTAAGTACGCTGGCTGCACTAAAAGGATATGCAAATTGTTTGAATAGCAAACGACATGCTAAACAATTTTTGCTCTGGTTTGTACTTACAATATACTGGTATAAAGAAAGAAATCAAACGTAACATTTCTCTTTAGTATGTTTTTTGTCTTTTTTTTTTTTTGGTCAACAATTTTTTTCTTCTGGCCATCGCATTGTTGTTTGCTTTTGCGCATTAAGTTGTTGTGTGTGCTGCAAGGATACGAATACAAGGCATGTCCTCTACCTCGTTACAATGTACAGGAAATGTTTTGCTGTATTTCACACCCCGCTGGATATAAATCACAGTGTCCCATGTTATTTTGGCCCAACTGCTAAACCTGCAGATTTGTTATTGTTGTTGTTGCCCCACACTGCCAACGACTCCTGTTGGATTATTGAATTAGTTGATTATATGCGCTCAAGTCGGGAGCGGGGCAAGGCTCCCAACATGAGGTGCCTGTATCATTTCTATTTGGGGTTTTGTGCAGGGCAATAAATCTTTTGTTTTCCAGTGCCATTTTACACATTTCAAATCTCATTTAAATCCGAAACAAGGCCAACTCAATGTTGCGGTAGAGTGAAACAATTGTAACTGCTTTTGGAGTTGTTATCTGCCTTTCTCCTCCTATTTATTTGGGCGGCAATTGTTCATTGAGGTGATTCATTAGATGAAAATCAATTCAGTTTGAGTATAACTTATGGTATTCACCCTGATGCTAATATCGTATTTATTTTGCTTTACTCTGTGTTGAAAAACTTTATGTCGACACAACATCAATATGCATGAGCATTAAATGAGTTATGTAAAATGCTGGCTGCTCTTAAGTCAAAGTTTTATTTGAAGTCGAATGCTAATTTCACATATCCAAAAGTTAATACACATCAAAAACTCTGTTTAATGCACAATCAAGCGCAAAAATTGACAAAACTCCGCAAAGCAGAAAAGCATATGCAAGAGCCAAGGATGCTGGTAAACTGCTGATAAACAAGACAAATCCGAGGGCAGGCAAGAAAAATGGTATCCTCTTTGGTATTATATATATATTTAGAGTTAACATTGATGGCAGATTGCGGCAGTCTATAGCAGGACAAGAAGACAACAAGCAACCAACAGCAGGCAGGACAGCAAAGTAAATATGACAACAATAAGGCTCTATTCACTCCACACCTTTGCCCACTTTTCCAAATGGCCGAAGGCATTTTTAGTGCCGGGTCTGCAGTTGAAGTTTCTTGTGAAATGCAATTTTGTAGCAAGTAAATCTGATAAAGCAATTGTAAGTGGATTGCATTAGACTGAAATTCAGTTATACGATATCAAAAAAAAAAAAAGAAAAGGATAATTGGGATGAGAAAACGTTGCCGCAAACCTGAACAATTAAGAAAACACAAAGCCATTCTGAGGTCCCTCGATTTTAAGTTTCGAATGCCACAGTGTCTCGAGTAAATCACTTAGCCCTAATCCCAAGTCGCAGCTATTCATATCAATTTTTCAATTCGCCTCCACAATAAAGAATAAAATGGTAGCTGGCAACGGGGAAGGGATACAATTTTGATACTGATTCATTCAGCGTTCAATCTTTTTCTACAACTTGCTATTTTTTTCCCTTATTCTTTTTTTTTTTTTTTGTTATTGTTGCCTTGTTACAAGGATATTGACGACGCGTCGTCGTCCTTGCCAGGATGATGATAAAGTGCGGCAACAAACCACATTTTTATACGTGCGTATATATTTTTATATGCTAGATGGCTGGCAAATCTGTGTGGCAGTTGGCGGGTGCATATTTATGCACAGTTCAAAGATCAAAATGAATATTTTATTTGATTTGATTCCTGCTTGGCTGCGCTGCTACAAGAAAAGCATTTTTAAGCGCACAATCCTTGGCATAATCAAGTCCTTAGAGAGTCAGCAGCGGGCCAATTGTCTGCCTGTAAATTGAAATGTTCTATGATTGTGTGTGTCTGTGTTATTGAATATGTGGTTTGATGAAGGGCAGGAGGCGGATGTAGGTTATTCTTCTAAAGCTGTGTGTTTAATGTGCTGATAAAGTGCCCAAAAGTAGGCAAAGCCTTACAAGTTGATCAAAAATCTTGGGGAAAATTCCGTTGTATTGAAAAAAAATCATCTGAAACCACTGAGAACAGAGTAAATAGAATAAGTTTATTAAACCGTTTACTTCCAAGTTCATTTCAAAGCACGAATCAACAATACACGACTTTAGCCAAAACAAAAAAACCATATTGAGTTATTTAATAACAATGTTGCTAAACAAATATCAACAAAAATATTCAAATAACACCTAAGTAAAGCAGCTGGTTATATATCTTTGCAATAAAAGAATTTCTCTATATAAGCCCAATAACACACTTAGTTTGAACATTTATACGTTGCGAAATGAGAGTTTCTTTGGTGCTGTTACTTGGGCTCTTAAGTGTATTGCTTTTGGCCCAAAATTCGAATTGTGCAGAGACCGATGATGATGATTATAAAGATGAAGATTATGCCGAAGGTGAAGATTACAGTGATGAACAAGGAGACGACGATGGTCAAACCATAGCTGAACCCAATAACGACGATAAGCCTGAAGAAGTTGATGAGGCCGATAATGGCGATAACGATAACGATAACGACGATAAGCCTGAAGACGGGGCAACAGAATCTAAACAAGTTGATGAGGCCGATAATGGCGATAACGATAACGAGGATAAACCTGAAGACGGAGCAGCAGAATCTGAAGAAGGTGATGAGGCCGATAATAGCGATTACACTGAAGAAGAAGAGGGAGTAGAATCGATTTCAGCTCCAGCTGGAAATGTAGCTCCACCAAAACAATCTAAGCCGAATGTAGTAATTAAACCTCGCCCTCCAAATCGCCAGCAGCAGGCAAATAAAAATCGACAGTCTAAACCTAAGGCTAAAAAACCAAAACAGGCAAATATTCGGAATCAGCAACCGAACAAAAACCAGGCAAGGAAGCAGAACCAAGCAAGGAACCAGAACCAAGCAAGGAACCAGAACCAAGCAAGGAACCAGAACCAGGCAAGAAACCAGAAGCAGGCAAGGCAAGATATCCCTGTAAGAAGACAGAACCCGAACAGGTCTCGTATGCAAAGAAGACAGTAAGCCCAGCAATGTATGGAATTATAATTTGTAACTCCGATAATTCTTTGTACACAAATAATAAATAATATATAAACAAAATAATAAAGAGTGTAAATTATTTTAAGTACTTTTTCATAAATCCGAAATTCTGTAATATTTTTATATTAAACACTCAATAGGTGAGTACAAAGCGTACTGAGCGACTTAAATTTGAACTCTTTCATTAGCAGACTGCAGACTACTCCTGCTCTATGTCGAAGTGCTCTCATTATGTGTGTATCATTCCCATATCAAAAACTATATTTGTTTGTGAATATATGTTTCGAGGTCATTCGAACCTAATTTTCGTTAGACTTCATATATTTATGTACATATAAACATATATCAACATATATTTTCAATTGAGAATCGAGGTCATCTAAGTTTAATCACACTGTTTGCTCCCTTATTTAACAGCTACGTCCTCAATTATTTTTTTTTTTTGTACTTTCTACCTTCATAAGCACATCAAGGAAAGTTTTGTTAAAGACAAATAAACAAAATTAAATAACAAATAGTTCTAGTTAAACACCTGAGCACAGTAGCTGGTTGTTGAATTACTTATCTAACGTATTTAATTTTTGTGTATATAAACCCAGCAATATATTAAGCTTCAACATTATTGATCGCAATGAGAGTTGCTTTGGTACTGATAAGCATTTGGCTTCTTTCCACTTGGGGGCTGAGTGACGATTACTACGATTACTATGAAAATGGCGAGGAAGGAAACGTTGATGACCTGGAACCAACATCCAACACACCAGAGGATTCCCAAACAACGGAGCCATCAAACCCACTCCCCCAACAAAAACCAAAGCAAAAACAACCAAACCAAAAACGTCCCTCGAAACCGAAAAATCAGCGTAAAAAGCCACTGAGGGGTAAAAATAATAAACAGGCTCCGAAGAAATCGAAGCCTCGGAGGCCTCAGGTAAAGAACAACCGAGGCCGTGGATAATTATAACAAAAAGTAGGTTCACAGCTATTTTAACGCAATAAATTTAATCTTCTTAGTTCTAGAAATCGATAAGTCGGACTCGCAAGCCCTAGAAGCAGATCAAAAGATAGAAGAAGACTCAGAAAAAATCAAAGTCAGCTAAAAAAAACAACAACAGAACCTGCGTCTTGGAAGAGTTAACAAAAAAAAGACAGATACATTTTCACAGCACATATACATTGCTTATCTTGTTATAATAAATGTGCTAAGTGAAACAAAATTGGTGTTTAAAGTTGCTCAGCTTCAATTTGTGGTCTGGTCACCTTCTCAGCTCATAGCGTTGCAATGCTTTCCGTTCTCATTTCGTGTTGAAAATCCATCAAAGTGTTGGTGCTCCAAGGCTGAGCTGCAACGCATTTCACACGCTTCGCTGGAGTTTTGTAACTAGAATTGGCCGACAGAGGGGACAAGAGGGTGCACAGGCCAGGACCATGCAGGAAACCTGCTCCAACCAAGAAGCAGCGGCGGCGGCGTCGACGAAAACTTTTTTGCCAATGCTGCTGGGCAAAACTTTCGCCGGCGTCGCTGAGGCTGCACAAAAATGTGTGCCCAAAATATGATTTGCCTGCTTAAATTGCAGTTGGGCTTTAAAAATGTTTTCACTCGTCATGCAAACATATATAGACATATATATATATTTTATATATGTATATGTAAATGGTATATGTATAGCTGGTTTTGGTCCTTCCACCTAACAGTCGCCTAAATGCGCCTAAATGAATTTTTACTAGTTGGGCTTGGCAAAAGTTTTGCCTGCACCTTTGAGCAAAAGTTTGCTCGTATGCCTCAAGTTTTTGGCCAAACATTGCCAAAGGCTGAGTTCTGGCTTGTTGCTCAACTTTTATAATTATTTGATTTGCTACACAGTCACTCAACTGTCTTAATGTGTGTGTGTGTCTGTGTATGTCTTTGGGAGGTTGTGTGCAAATCCTTTCTTGGCCCAACTACGACAATATTATTGCAACGTTTTTTTTGAAAACTTTGCACTTTTTTAGTGATTTGGGTTTGGTATATGAAAATCTGTTAAAATAGTGATAACATAATTTTCAATATACCCTTTTAAATAACTGTCACTTTATAATACTCGTCGTAATTAATCTGATGTGTTTCACTGCCTCAAAGACATCACAAGTTGTTAAGATAATCAAACAAATATTCAAAAACACCTGTTGTCTAAACAAACAGTTCAAGAAGAAGAACAAAAAAAGAAGTCAAACGTTAATTATAATTATGTGCGAGAATATTCGAAGACCAAAAATATTTTGAGGTCTCTCCGAACAACAATATCAACAGTTGATCAAAAACAGTTGTCGCGTAGCTTGTAAATATGCATTATACCCATATTTGGGTGCTGCTCTTGGGCCTCTGGAGTCTTGGATACAATCAGCCACATGCCTTGGTGACTTCGCCTACACAAGACAAAAGAGCAGCAAAATATTTACTTCGACATTTGCCTACACAAATTAAGCTTCTATCCAGAAGAACTGGAAATGGAAGAGTCAGTCTTGTCTCTGAGGCAAATAACTTTAGCTCCGTTGAAGAAATTCTAATTGCCAGCACAGCGCCACTTGGGAAAAATACAGAAATCGAGAAACCCGACCAATTGTTATTGATGATGAATTTCATTTTTACCTGGCCCTTATTTTATGCATTCTACATAGTTTTTTTGGCTGTTATTTTGTTTTAAATAAAATAAACACAATAAAATCCAAAGTAAAATGATGTGTTTTATACTGGCAACAATAAAATAACCCTATAAAGCTAAACTTAAAATAAAGTTTGGGAGAAACTAACTTAAAAATACATAAATGTTAATAACCGTCAGACTTCCTTCTACCTGTAAGTTAGACAATTCTGTAACGATAAACTAGAAAATTGTGAACAATTTTTGTATAAACAGCAATTGTTTCAAATCCAAACTGTAGTGAAGTTAACTGGCTTTCATTTCAAATAATTTGGAAAATACCGGCTAGTAAATTTTGAATGTATATCATCTTACCTCATAAATATCCGCTACATTTTCAACTTGAGTTGTCAGCATATTTCGAGAGGCATATTTCCCCGAAAAGCGCCCTCACACAAACTCCATTTGTAACAGCCGTTGAACGGGACGCACATATGTTGTCCATATGCTAAGTATGCAACGAGTGGCACTCAGACCACCCACAGTCTGGGAAACTTGCTGGCTCGCTCGCTGTTGCTTTCGTCAACTGCAACATAATTTATGACGCTTTCATTAAAAGCGACAAGCGAGACAAACGCCCACATACACACACACACACACACACACACACACCTCCACACACACACACACATACACATACCAATACGAGTACACACCCACAATCACGGCTTGAACTGTCCAGTTGAGCACGGACTTTGTTTATGTGTGTTTCAAATGTGTTTTGTGCCCCAAACGTGGCATACCCCACCGACAACTTTAACTCGGTTACGTGCCAGACAGTTGTCAGGCGGAACGCCATAGATGTCGGCAACATTTCACCCCGAACGGTGTCAATTTTTTAATGTCAAGCGTTTAACTGGCCAAGGATCGTTCCCGATCCTGAAGCAATGACCAGTGGTTGGGCAGTTCGTCGACGTCGCGCTCTGACATAATTAAAGACCATTAATCACGTGTGCTGATTCAACAACGCCCACTCGCAAAGGACCTCCTCAGTTGACCGACCCGCCACCCCGCCCCATATCGTATCGTTTGGGTTAATCAAGCCACTTGGGCCGCTAGTCTGGGGCTGAATTTAAATTGTGCAGCCAAGAAAGGAGAAGAACGAAACCACCTTGGCGATATTGCACCTCGTATCGCCTCGTTACAAAATGTGTCCAACTGGACAAATTTTTTTTACACATTCTTCGTTTTCGTTTTGTTTTTGTTTTTTTGTCTGATTTTTTACAAGAGATTTTTTGTATTTGCTTTCAGTTTAACTTTTTTTACAGCAGCATTTTGGCGTCAATTAACGTTCTTTGTTGTGGCGTTACATTGGACACATTTTCGGCACGGACACACACATAGCCACAGTCATAGCCAAATCTATAGCTCTACGTAGATTGGATGTTGTGCTTCAATGGGCCTCGTGTTGAGTCTCTTTAGACGAGGGAGACTTCTGAAGCTCCTAAGACTAGAATAAAGGACAAGATTGACAACGAGAAAAATCATGTTGGCTAAAATTCAATTCATCTAGAATCAATTTCATATTTATATTAAAATGTCAAGAAAATCGTTGAACAGATTTTAACAACTTATAATCAAACATTTTAGATTTTTGATAGAAAGAAAAATTATACGTTTGAAAATATGTTTTTTTACTTATTGTGTTACCACCATTTCTAAATTAATTATTTATTTTTCTCATTGTTGAGGTGCGCTTTTCCTGAAGAATACGTTAAAATTTTTGAGTAAACAAAAAGGAAAAGTTCTTAGAATGAATTTATATTTTTTTTTAAAGAGAATAAGTTAAGAATACTCACTTTACAAAGTGTCCCTAATTTGTCATATAGCTCTGCTTATAGCGCACAGTCCATGAAAAATAAAGTAAAAAACACAAATTCGAGCGAAACGATATGACAAAACAAATTCCCATATATTCACAACAGCAGCATCCTCACACACCCACACACATGTCACATGTCACACACGCAAACACAAACACACACACACACAAACACACACACACAGATACGTTAGCGAAAGATATCAGCTACATGGCTATGGCGTCGGCGCTTATATAGACTTATAGTCTCGCATATTGACCGCGACGGGGCAGAGTCCGCGACACCTTCGCAACAACACGCTGAACAGCAGGAATCTCCCTAAATACCCACATCCCTTTCCACCCAGTGAATACCACTACCAATACTGAATCCCAGCCCGTCTGGGCATGGGACGCTTGGGGATTGATTTTTAACGAGCGATGCTAGTGAAACAGTCGATGCGAGCTATGAATGTTTGAATGTTGGGCAAAAAATTATG